CATGATGATCGCGGAGTTCACCAACAATCACAAGCTGAATGCCAAAAAAATTGGGGAGACCATCTTCAATCTTCACGAGAAAATCGATCACCTCCAAGCCCAGATCTATGACCTGCAAAACCAAAACTGTGAGTGTATGAATATAGATTCAAGAGGATGAGTTTGGCTGTAGATTTGAGTATCCCGGAGACTCGATTATCCTTCTATGATGGTGAGCCTATGCCTTGGAAGATGGACGACAAGTCTACATCATCAACAACTCCATCATCACAACCAAAGGAGAACTGAGTATCGGGTATGGGCACTCCCCTTGGCAACTGCCAAGCTTGGGGGAGTGCCCCGGTATCGTATCACCATCACACTTTTATCTTTACCATTTTTCTTATTTCGATCCTTTTGGTTATATCTTGATCTAGTAGAATAAAGTTCAGTAAGATCTAGCTTTGAGTTTTAGTATTGATCCTTATCTATGTAATCGAGTTCGTGAGCTATATATAACAAATATTAGTTTTGAGTCGAGGGCTTAATTATCTTGCTATGATCTTGAGGGAATAAAACAAAAGAGAAAGAATAAAAAAATAAAGAGATCATATTGATCTTATGGAGAGTAATGACTTCACATATAAAGAGTATGATGAATAAAAGTTGTTGAGAGCTGACAAACATAATTTTGGTCATCGTTGCAATTAATAGGAAGTAATAAACAAAGAGAGGTTTTCACATATAAATATACTATCTTGTACATCTTTTATGATTGTGAGCACTCATTAAAATATGACATGCTAAAAAGTTGATGTTGGACAAGGAAGACAATGTAACGGGTTATGTTTTCTTTCATCCGAAATAAATTATATTGTCATGGATCATCCAACATGTTGAGCTTGCATTTACCCTCATGCTAGCCAAATTCTTTGCACCAAGTAGAGATACTACTTGTGCTTCAAAATATCCTTAAACCCAGTTTTGCCATGAGAGTACATCATATCTGCCTATGGATTGAGTAAGATCCTTCAAGTAAGTTGTCGTCGTTGCAAGCAATAAAAATTGCTCTCTAAATATGTATGATCTATTAGTGTGGAGAAAATAAGCTTTATACGATCTTGTTATGTTGAAGAAATAAAAGCGATGGACTTCATAATAAAGGTCCATATCACAATTGGCAATATAAAGTGACGTTCTTTTGCATTAAGATTTTGTGCATCCAACCATAAAAACACATGACAACCTCTGCTTCCCTCTACGAAGGGCCCATATTTTATTTTTTTTGTCCTATACCTTATACAAGAGTCATGGTGATCTTCACCTTTCCTTTTTACATTTTATCCTTTGGCAAGCACTGTGTGTTGGAAAGATCCTGATATATATAGCTATTTGGATGTGGGTTTTCATAAACTATTATTGTTGACATTACCCTTGAGGTAAAAGGTTGGGAGGCAAAACTATAAGCCCCTATCTTTCTATGTGTCCGATTAAAGCTTCAAACCATAAGTATTGCGTGAGTGTTAGCAATTGTGGAAGACTAAATGATAGTTGAGTATGTGGACTTGCTGAAAAGCTCTTATATTGGATCTTTCCGATGTTATGATGAATGACAATTGCTTCAATGACTGAGATTTTAGTTTGTTAGTTTTCAATGAAATTTCTGATTCATACCTGACATTGTGAATATATTGTTACTTTAGCATAAGAAATCATATGACAATATATATATATATATATATATATATATATATATACACACACATATATATATGTGTGTGTGTGTGTGTGTGTATGTGTGTGTGTGTGTGCGTGTTCCTGTTATAAGAATGATCATGATGCCCTCATGTCTATATTTTATTTTATCGACACCTATATCTCTAAACATGTGGACATATTTTTCGATATCGGCTTCTGCTTGAGGACAAGCGAGGTCTAAGCTTGGGGGAGTTGATACGTCCATTTTGCATCATGCTTTTATATCGATATTTATTTCACTATTGTCTGTTATTATACATTATGTCACAATACTTATGCCTTTTCTCTCTTATTTTACAAGGTTTACATGAAGAGGGAGAATGCCGGCAGCTGAAATTCTGGGCTGGAAAAGGAGCAAATATTAGAGACCTATTCTGCACAACTCCAAAAGTCTTAAAACTCCATGAAAGTCAGTTTTGGAATATATTAAAAATATTGGGAGAAGAAAGCACCAGAGAGGGGCCACACCCTGTCCACGAGGGTGGGGGCGCGCCCTACACCCCTGGGAGCGTCCCCTACCTCGTGGGCCCCCTGGCAGGCCTCCGGTGCCCATATTTTGCTATATGAAGTCTTTCACCCTAAAAAAATAAGGAGGAAGCTTTCGGGATGAAGCGCCGCCGTCTCGAGGCGGAACCTTGGTGAAACCAATCTAGGGCTCCGGCGGAGCTGTTCTGTCGGGGAAACATCCCTCCGGGAGGGGGAAATCATCACCATTGTCATCACCATCGATCCTCTCATCGGGAGGGGGTCAATCTCCATCAACATCTTCACCAGCACCATCTCATCTCAAACCCTAGTTCATCTCTTCTATCCAATCTTTGTCTCAAAACCTCATATTGGTACCTGTGGGTTGCTAGTAGTGTTGATTACTCTTTGTAGTTGATGCTAGTTGGTTTATTTGGTGGAAGATCATATGTTCAGATCCTTTATGCATATTAATACCCCTCTGATTATGAACATGAATATGATTTGTGAATAGTTATACATTTGTTGCGGAGGACATGGGAGAAGTATTGCTATAAGTAGTCATGTGAATTTGGTATTCGTTCGATATTTTGATGAGATGTATGTTGTCTCTCCTCTAGTGGTGTCATGTGAAGGTCGACTACATGACACTTCACCATTGTTTGGGCCTAGGGGAAGGCATTGGGAAGTAATAAGTAGATGATGGGTTGCTAGAGTGACAGAAGCTTAAACCCTAGTTTATGCGTTGCTTCATAAGGGGATGATTTGGATCCATATGTTTCATGTTATGGTTAGGTTTACCTTAATACTTCTTTTGTAGTTGCGGATACTTGCAAAAAGGGTTAATCATAAGTGGGATGGTTGTCCAAGGAAGGGCAATACCCAAGCACCGGTCCACCCACATATCAAATTATCAAAGTAACGAACATGAATCATATGAGCATGATGAAAACTAGCTTGACGATAATTCTCATGTGTCCTCGGGAGCGCATTCCTTTATATAAGAGTTTGTCCATGCTTGTCCTTTGCTACAAAAAGGATTGGGCCACCTTGCTGCACCTTGTTTACTTTTATTACTTGTTACCCGTTACGAATTACCTTATCACAAAACAATCTGTTACCAATAATTTCAGTGCTTGCAAAGAATACCTTACTGAAAACTGCTTTTCATTTCCTTCTGCTCCTCGTTGGGTTTGACACTCTTACTTTCGAAAGGACTAGATAGATCCCCTATACTTGTGGGTCATCAGATCTCCATTCTTCCTCCTCTAGATTTAGTTAACCTATCGAGCATTATCCCTGATGTTTGTTTCCTCTTGCGCCTAGGTGCTACTCCAACAACAAACATAGGAAGTGTTAGTGTATATCAAACTGTGAAACTACATATAAAGAAGCATGCAACTGTAACTTGACTCCAGCAACTACCTTCTTCCTATTGAAGCTCACAAAGTTCATCTAATCTTGCCAACTCCTCTTGTGTCAAGAGTGCTTCAGAAGTAGTGTCAGGTGGCAAGGGAGCTTGGGAACGTGCTGCTAGCTGAGTTGATCAATGAGTAAATCGTGCAGCTGGTGGTATGGTGGAAGGTGTTGCAACAACTAGGGTTGTCTCTGCTTGTTTGGTGGCAGCTATTTGTTTCTGTTTAGCTTGTTCTACAGCTCGCAGTACAAAAAAAAAAGAAACATCCGTGATAGGGAGGCAGGGGAATGACTTTGACAAGGGCGGCGACACCATCGGCGTGCCGGCTGCAGCATGAAGGCAGGAACTTTACGGGCCTGGTATGTTCCTGCTATTGCGTCCGGTCAAGTACCGTCGTTGACGGCGGAGGTGGGGCCCTCCCGTGTGCCGATGGTGTTGTTGCCCTAGTCCCGGCTCCTCTTCTTCATTGTGCAGGCCATGCTTCACGGTGCCGTGGTGAGATAGCATGGGAATCTTCTTGACCGGGTTGGCGCAGGGTGGTGGTCGGTTTGGTGGCGAGCTCCGGAGTGCCTGAGGTGGAGGTTGGGATCGGGAGAAATCCATATTGGCTTGGTCGACACCGACGCGGTAGCGCATGAGGGTGCCGCCGGACCTTCGTGGAGGGCTTCGGGGCTACCATTCCTCTCTCCACACCGCGTACCGGCCAGGGGAAACCCTTGGCAGCAACGTCGTCATCGTCACATCCCTTCTTGGAGGTGTTGATTGGTATCGGCTCTTCGGAGGCTCGAAGCTTGGTGGGCGATCTCCGGTGGATGCAGCGGTCATAAGACTTCTTCGTTTTTTGTCGATCCGCCATTGTCGGCATTTGTTTCTCTTGTATTTTCTTTTTCATTTCTTTTGAACGTGACTGTGCTGCTTTCGCCCCAACACCTATCTTTGGCTCTCTCGGTTGGTTGCTTTGTATACAAAGCGCGGAACCCTTTTTCGATAAACATACATACATACATACAAGAGAACAAAGAGACATATAGGTGTCACAATTCTATTGGATGGAAAAATTGACTGAAAGCCAATTAGATTTCAGTCAGATGTTAAATAGACAGTTCCATTTTATCAAAGGAAACGAGACAAGACACAGAAATTGCTCATGCTAATCAAACGTGTTCGTTTAGGCACGCGCTAAAAGAAACTCACAAATCTTAGAATTTGTATCAAAAGGATTAGCAGTTAGATGTGAGATGACTAATTCTCATTTAGATGAGAATTAACAAAACCGAAACTAAAAAGATAATCTCCTCGAGCGGCCGGGATCGCGAAAAAAGAAATGAAAAAGAGAGAGAAATTAGAACACTTGGTACATTCGAAATACGGAGAAAAGAAATCATGCCGCACATGTGTTGGCCTTGTCGACTCCCGTGGCGGTGACCTTGACGTGGCTGCAGACAGCCATGGTCTTGTTGTTCGTGCCGGAGTACTCGATCTTGACGTCGGACATTGTGATGCCTTCGCAGGGCTTCTTCTCGGAGCAGAGCAGGCTGACGGCCTCGGGGGTGGAGGACATGCCGGTGATGTTTTTGAACGTAACGTCCTTGACGGTGACCCTGTCGGCGTCGCCCTTGGAGGTGCAGAGTTTGTTGGGGCAGTACTTCTGGTCGATGATGATGGGGTTGCCCGAGTCCTCCATCTTGACGTTCTCGTAGGTGATCTTGGATGCTACGAGGGGCGACTTGGCGTCCTCGTACGACTTGATGCGGAGGCCGTTGCTGGAGCCCTTGAGCACGCAGTTCTTGACGGTGATGTCGGTCACGTCCTTCTCGTCCTTGTACCTCCCGAGGCTGCCAATGCTGATGCCATGGCCTGGGCCGCAGGTCACGCCGCTGATGTTGACTTTTGTGGTGCCGGGGCCCATGGAGATGCAGTCGTCGCCAACGCCTATGGTGGTGTCGATGATGCTGACATTGGATGAGTCGCCCATGTGGATGCCGTCGGTGTTGGGGCTGTCCCCGGGCGCGGTCACCTTCACGTCCTTGACGGTCACGCCCTTGCACTGGAAGATGTTCATGTGGAAGAACTTGGAATTGATGATAGAGATGCCTTCGATGAGCGCGTCGTCACAGAAGTCCAGCACCAGCGACTGCATGCATGCATGCACATTTACGTACGTAAGAATATAACAGCATTTCTTCAATAATAGTAAAAGAAATATACGCACGTATATATAATTTATTACTATATAATGTTATGCACGCATACGTACGTTTGGCAATATCTTGCAGTTGTAGTTCTTTTGGCAGCTGTTTTTGGTCCAGACGGCCTTGCCCTGACCGTCGATGTTGCCTTTGCCAGTGATGGAGAGCTTCTTCACGCGCATGATCTCGATCCAGTTAGACTTGAACTTGGCCAGGTCGTTGGAAGCTAGCAGGTTGCCTTCCAGCTTGATGGTGAGTCCGTCGCCCTTGCACGGCCCCGTGAAATTCAGAGCTCCAGTCAGGAAATCACCCTTGGGGATGATGATGGTCGGGTTGCCGGTGCTACCGCATGCCGAAGCCCATGCCTCCTCCACCGCCTGCATGCAATTGCAATGCACTCCACCACATGATCCATCGATCCATCATCATTCTTATATTCTCTCCCCTTCAGCACGTACGTACCTCGGCGCAGTCCGTTGTGCCGTCGGGCTTGGCGCCGAGCTTGGTGATGTCGTACTCCCCGCCCAGACCAGACGCCGCCGGACCATCTGCGCTCTCCTCCTTCT